CTGTAAATTACACATGAACGCAAACTACAGCGTGCTCTTCTTGATTTATTTCCTCATAAACAAAGATAGGTTAAAAATAAATCCTGAAATAAAAAGGTAAGCACACCCTGGTATATTGAGCACTAATATTTTACCCTAAGTATCAGTTTTAATGCAAATATTGATTATAACGAGAGCAATGTCCCATTAAAAAGATGTGAGGATACAAGTGTGACTGTAAGGTACGATATCGACGTAGTATGCACGTGAACCAAGCCTCCCATGCGTAACCCTAAATTCAGTACGCATGCGCTTCAAATTTGGCTATTCCAGTCCGGTGATTTTACAAACATATTCATTACAAGTAAACATGGTACGCAGGCAAATATCAGAAGCGCAAAGATGGCAAATAATCGGCATGCACTCAACAGGAATGTCCTTCAAAGCTTCAGATAGGCTATCACTATAAGCCGACTAGTACAAAAATACACCCAATCCAACTTTATCCGGCAGACCATCTGTAACGTCGCAGCATGAAGACAGTGTACTGCATCGCTTGATAAGGCGGATGCCATTCGCAACAGGCCCAGTTCTTAAACGCCAATGGCTACCCAATAGACGTTTTTCAGCAAGAACATTGAGGAACCGTTTGAAGTCAGCGGATTAAAGTCGTCCCATGTTACCAGACCGACATCAACAATGTTTAGCGTGATGTGGTTGGATTTCGAGGACCTGGCGAAGGATGTATTGGTCAGAGTAGAGCCGTTTCCTGCTTCATGTCACCGATGGCCAAATGAGAGTGTGGTGACAGAAAAGTACGGCGTATACCCTAAGGAACATCTAGCCAACTGCCCCTTACGGTGGAGGCTATGTAATGATTTGGGGGTGTATCTCTCATGATTGTAAGTAGGACTTGGTTACCATACGGTGAAATCTAGCAGGTGATCAGTACATCAGAGACGTCTTACAACCAATTGTTGTCCCCCTTTGGACAACCAAACGCTAGCAGCAAAGGTATATGTTGACAGATGACAGTGCTAGACCTCATCGTTTAAGAACATTAACTGCCTACCTTTAAAGCGAAGCCAGACATTTTTCTGTGGTCTGCCATGAGCTCAGATTAAAGTTCGATAAATCATGTTTGGGACATGATATAACGTAGTATATAGTCACCTGTACATCTGTACAAAACCTCCGTGTACTGGAAGCAGCATTGCACCGAGAATGTTGGGGGCTACCACAGCAGGGCATCCGACGTCAGACTGAAGGTATACGACGTATAGTCCAAACACGTGGTGGTTACACTCGATACCGAACTTTTGAGCCATGATGTTGTTTAACGTGAAACGTACAATAGTATCGTGATTTATGAACTGTTAAGGTCAGTTTTTAAATTGGCCTTATGCTTTTTGACATTATATTGATTAAATTATCATTTCTGTTGGTGTGTTTTCTTACAGCCAATGCGGTGACTAAACAGGTCACATTTCGTTTCCTGGGTTATTTGGTCAGTAATTTCATGACACAAATTCGATCCATTGTCAATAAAAGAAAAAAACTAATCAATAAAAAAGCATTTGTTATTATCAAATGCTCAAATTGCCCTTCATACAAGTACCTGTCATGAAGTATAAGAAAAGCGCTACAGTATTTTCTGATGTAATCTCTTATCAGCACACAATGTTTACCGAGGAAAATGTTCAGTTAACTATTAATTTTCTAGATAAAACGCATTATTTAACTGGTATGTGTAATTTAATATGGTATTTTTTGCATGTTAAATAAAGCATGAAATTGAATTAGTTTTACCCATACATGTAGTTCACAATGAAGCTTTCTAAAACCTTTGATTCATTCACAGAGCTTAGGACGGAGTTTTCCAATGTACTTAGGTCTTATTGTTTGAGTAATTGACACTGTGAATTGTTTTTAAAGTGAGCAGTATGAATTGATTACATTTCCGTGATAGTGTTAATTGCTCCATAAAGCTTTCCAATTTATATCTAATTGTATAAAGTCGATCAAGGATGTTTCTCACATGCCCCGTCGGGAAACGCACGAGGTTTCTGGTTTTGAACGAAGTAATTTTCTCGTTACGTATAACACTTATTTTGCTCCAGGTTCCTCATGTTGTGCTTACCACTCTGTACCATTTATCTAACATAATTGCTCCTTATTGAGATAAGTTTTATGTCATCTGAATCAAAGTCTAATCTTATGTATACTAATGCAAACACCACCTGAACATCGCCGTGATTCGTCCTTCATACGCCCATTAACAAATTCTATTTTCGTCGTTTTTCTCAAAACCAGTGTCAATTTTAACAGACTTTTGTAAGTTGCTTTTAATGATTACTCCCTATGAGTAAATGAATAGTTTTCAGTCCTCTGAAAACTTATGTATCTTAGCAAGATAAATGAAGCACTTAAAAATAACTGTTTAACGCATTTAAAGACTCAATTTTTACGTTTAAACGAGGTAGCTATCATGTTAGATAATGGAAGCATTTTAACGAGATATTTATCCAGATTGATATCGCTAGGCCTCCGTACTATTGTTTTATCAAATCTAATCTTTCAGTATTTTTTATGTCCCTAGAATAAGATATCAACGTACGAATACCTGTTTTATGAGACAAACATTTACTTGTTGCTATATATTTGTAGTATATCTATCTATTTCATTTACTTTACAATACAAATATATT